ATTGCGTGTTAAACTATGAAGTCATATTCCGAATTGCTAAAGTCATAGTTTATGTTGATGACATGCATCTCATTAAGATCCTAGAAGAGCTTGAGAAAACTGTCTAACACCTAAAGATGGAAATTGAGATGAGGATCTTGGGAAAACTCGTTTATGCCTTAACCTGAAGTTTTAGCGTTGTTTTGTGTTTTGACAGTATTTTGGTCTACTAGTTGAACTACACCCCAAATGTGTTATCTTTTGAGTATACCTATGATCTTCCATACACTATATGCAAATGAGACCCTTGAAGAGGTTATGGAATCTAAAGTTCCATATCTGAGTTCAACTTTACGCTTTGTTGTACTTAGCTTATTATGTTAGACATGATATCTTCTTCGTTGTTGATCTATTAGTAAAGATGTAGCATCGTGCCTACATGCAACCACTGAATTGGTAATAAAGACGTTTTTTTTGCTACCCTGAAGGTACTACGGATTTGGGCTAATCCTAACACATCCCGAGCAGATCCGACCCCTTGATCATCGAAATAATCCCAGCCTTGTTTGTTATGTTGATGCAAGATGCTTATCAAACCCGCAAAAGGGACATCCCCAAATGTCTATGTCTTTACCGTTAGGGATACTATAATATCTTGGGGGTTCAACGATATAACCTTAGTTGTGAATATTCAAATCATTCCAAGACTCACCTCACTTCACTATGCCACATGTGAGACATGGTTAAGAGCTATTATTGAGCATATTTGAAGTACATGAGATGTCTTCATCCATCGTTGAGTCTTAACGACAATCTATGAAGACTATGCCGCATTTGTCAACCCGACAAAGACATGATACATCAACGAAGTCAACGCCAAGAGATATTGCGTCTACACCATATCAGCAAAGCATCAGGAGATTGAAGTTATGCAAGCCGATCCCAAACAACCTTGCTGACCTTTACATGACGTCTCTGCCGAAGTCTACTTTCTCGAAACTTGTCTGAGGAATTGGTATGCCTAACTATTCATATGCAATGCTTGTCGTTCTTATTTGGAAATTTTGTCAAACTCAACGGAAGTTTCCAAAAGTATACTCACTTGATCTTAATGTACTTTTTTTCCTACGATTAGGAGTACTTTTTCCACTGGGTTTTTGCTACCTAACTAGGTTTTGACGAGGCACCCATCTTGGGCTGGTCATACCTTTGTGAGCTCTTTTACTTACATCCAGAAGACGTATAATTTTGACTTAGTGCAACTTCTCACCTTTCTCCTTAGTCTATGGGTTTTTTCTCCCACCTTGGGTTTTACCATAACGAGGTTTTGTAAGTTTTACCTTTTATGCATGCTTCCGTTGTTTTGAAACTCGCATTCACTCATTGTGCCGATGACTTCATCAAGTGTATTTACTTCACCGTTGAAGACCTGATGCGCCATTTACTTGAGTATTTACACACTCAAGGGGGGAGTGTTGCAGTCCTATTAGATTAGAAATGTGATTGTGTAAATCCTATAATATCTGAGATATCTCTTTGACTAGATATTATTCTATTAGAGTTGTAATCCTATTATGGTAAGGAATTTACCTTCCTTACTACTATAAATAAAGGCATAATGGGATGACATAACAAACACCTCACAGTTACACATCTCTCTTTCTCTCTATGCCACCGCACCCTCTTTATGCCCTTTATATTGTTTAGTGAATTAGGCGTACAACAATATATAGATTGTATAATGAAAGCTATGATATTTCATAGTTCGAAATAAAAACTTGAGCAAACAGATGAAATTGATAGTAGTACAATTTGGTCAATAGATGACATTTGTGCGGATTCTTTATACTTTTATCTACATTTTTCAACCAAATATTCAATTGTGCTACAACATCCTACGATTACATCGAAATAAGAGTTCAGAGGTGATTTTTACTATTTATAAGAAATTCGAATTTCAAACAATAAATAAGCACCTGATTTTATTATATAGGAGAACAATGAAAAAACTTGTTAAGAAATATATAACAAACCTCATGGCAGCAACAATTTGCAAGTTGAGATGACAACTTGGCATTCACAGCCTCTAATTCCTAGATTTTTATTTGCAAATAAGTTATTAAAACTATACATTCGTTAAAAAAATGTAAATACTTTGAAATACATCTTGTAGTATAGGAATGATTGGTTAAGAAGGCGTGTAGAGCTCCAGTATGCTTATCGGCTTGGGTTTTCGCACCACCTCATTCTCTCAGTCTACCTTTATTGGCAACGTCACTTGTGGGACTCTCACAAGCTTCTTTGTTTGCTTCTACTTGGAGGTTGCGTTCGGAGAAAGTTTCGTTGATGGATTATGGGTCTTCCTTTCTCCCATCTCTGAGGCACTATGATGCATGGACATGGACACGAATATGGAGATACGACACTATACGGGAATACGTCAAATTTCTAAAAATGAAGACACGATACAACAGTGATATGGTAATTAAAAATAATATAAATAAATAAATATATCTAAATATTATAAAATAAGCATTCAAATATACTATTCATGTTCAAATTTATTTCGATAAACATCAAACATTTAAAAAGATAATCCATTAAACAACTAAATTAGTCTTCAAACTTGAAAAACTAAAAAGAACATCCAAACTACTTAAAAAATAAAAAGAAAGAGTCCATCATTCTCGAACTAGCTTTTTCATTTCTACAAAAGCTTCATCAGTAACCTTGTTGCAAGAGACAATCCCATTCCCATACATTTTTAACAAATGAAACTTGACCGTGGAGTAGGATCCTCTGAAAATATTTTGACAGTAGTTGCATTGGAACACAGTACCTCTTCTTCCATTTCCCACTCCTTCGAGCTTTTTGACATACTTCCACAGTGTACCATGATCATTTTCCAAAAGGAAATTGTTATTAACACTTCTAAAATCTCATTTGGCACTCCAAACTTTCTATAATTAGAAAGAAAAATACACTTGTGAGGAGCGTAGAATGAAATTTTTGGAGCGCTAATAACAACTCTCTTCCTAAATTGCTAACATGTAAATTGTAATAATCAATCCAAAGTAATCGCATAAAATGTTAAGAAAACTAACAAAAATGCCTTGAAAACTTTGAGTTTTAACGATAAGGACAAAATAAAAGGTAAAGTAAATAGTACCAGAATTGACTTTTTAGTGTAAAAATATAGTTTTCATTAAAATAAATAATACCGAAAGTTTTTCGTTAAAGTTCATTACAAGTAAAATTTATACTAAGCGATCAACAAAGCAATATAAAAGCATATATAAATATATTATAATCTAAAATTATTCTACATCACTAACAATAATATTATTATAATAAGCAAAAACGGAAAAGCCAAAGGAGCTTTTCGTTTGGCTTCAAAAAAGCAAAAAGGAACTCTAATCAGTAAAGCAGAGGAATCTGGGGCAGAAAAGCATCGAAATTATTAACAAAAAGAAAAAGAAAGCTTCAGGAAAGCATGGAATTCGAAACCAGTTACAAGCTCTCACCAGCAGATGCATAAGATACGATGCAGCAGTTGCAAACGGAGCCGACAAGAGCAGTTGCCGATGGTGGTTCTGAGGTTGTGTAGTTGACTTCCTTTGCTAGTTCGATTCAAAAACCATCTGCCCCTCCCCTGGTTCCATTTTGCAGTTCCGATTAGACATAATCGGTGAACAGATGGATAACCCGGGCAGCAAGTACGACATGTTCTTGAGCTTTAGAGGCGAAATATGCAAGGGCTTCACGGACGACTTTTACCTTAGATTAAAAGACTACGAGTTCAATGTCTTTCTGGACGAGGACGAATTGCCTAGAGGGGATCCTACAATAGAAAAACTGAAGCAAGCAATCAAAGAGTCCAGGCTTGCTGTCATCACTTTCTCAAAGGGGTATACGGAATTGAGTTGGTGTCTTGGGAGCTGGTGGAGATCATGGAGTGCAAAAGAACTAAGGGTCAATTTGTTTATGTGTTTTTCTCACTATTCTCCATACTTTATGAGTTTTTCTCTTAGTCCTATTAAATTAAAAATGTGATAGTGTAAATTCTATTATATTTGGGATAGGGCATAATGTGTCCATGGTTTGAAATAAAAACTTGAGCAAACAAATTGTGAAATTGATGGTGGTACAATTTGGTCAATAGATGACATTTGCGTACATTCCTTATACTTGTATCTACATTTTATTTTTTTTAATCCCCACCCCACCCACACCAGGCCACGAACCTGGGACCTAATCCACCCACACCCACACGGCTATTCTATTCCTAGTGGCTTTTTACTATTTATATGAAATTCGAATTTCAAATAGTAAATAAGTACCTGATTTTATCATATAGGAGAACAGTGAAAAAACTTGTTAAGAAATATATAGCAAACCTCATGGCAGCAACAATTTGCAAGTTGGAGATGACAACTTGGCATTCACAGCCTCTAATTCATGGATTTTTATTTGCAAATAAGTAATTAAAACTATACATTCGTTAAAAAAAATGTAAATACTTTGAAATACATCTTGTAGTATATGAATGATTGGTTGAGAAGGTTTGTAGAGCTCCGGTATGCTTATTGGCTCAGGTTTCCGCACAACCTTCTTCTCTCGGTCTGCCTTTATTGGCAAGTTTCTTTGTTTGCTTCTACTTGGAGGTTGAGTTCGGTGAGAGTTTCATTGATGGATTACGGGTCTTCCTTCCTCCCATCTCTAAGGCGTTAATTGGTCGGAATTTTGATGTTCGTTGGTGTCCATGGTTTCTGCTGATCGGGTGGTGTTGCAGCGGCGGATGTAGCAGAAGGCTAGGGCTTTCTTTCGGTGTTTGTTTTTGGGCCTTAGCCCTTTTTTAGGCCCTTGACATGTAGTTTGTAATGTCAATTTTTGCTTTGTATTTATAGTGTGGGCCATTGTTAGCCTTGTTTTGTAAATTTTCTATGGCAATAATATTAACCGTTTATACCCGGAAAAAAAAAAAAAGAAACAAAGAAAAGAGAGAGAGTATGTGAATAGCGATTCTAGGGTTATTGTAAGGTTCATTTTTTTTGGGTCAATGTGTAGTTGACTTTCTTTGCTAGTTCGATTCAAAAACCATCTGCCCCTGGTTCCATTTTGCAGTTCCGATCAGACATGATCGGTGAACAGATGGATAACCCCGGCAGCAAGTACGACGTGTTCTTGAGCTTTAGAGGTGAAATACGCAAGGGCTTCACGGACCACTTCTACCTTAGATTAAAAGACTACGAGTTCAATGTCTTTCTGGACGAGGACGAATTGCCTAGAGGGGATCCTATAACAGAAAAACTGAAGCAAGCAATCAAAGAGTCCAGGCTTGCTGTCATCATGTTCTCAAAGGGGTATGCGGAATCGAGATGGTGTCTTGAGGAGCTGGTGGAGATCATGGAGTGCAGAAGAACTAAGGGTCAATTTGTTTTCCCGATTTTCTACGATGTTGATCCTTCAGATGTCAGGCATCAGACTGGTAGTTTTGCAACCGCGTTTCAGAACCATGAACAAAGGTTTACGGAAGAAAAGGTCCGGGAGTGGAGAAAGGCTCTTACTGCAGCTGCAGAGTTGAGCGGCGAGCATTTTCAAGTGAATAACGGGTAGGAACTTGCTTATTTCCTTTAACAAGTAATTCTTTGAATCGTTCTGTTTTTCAAAATATAATCGCAAAGCTTTGAAACTCTGATACGAGGATTAATATATAAACGCTTGATCTATCTCTCTAGATATTAGTGTGTTGGTGATGAATGTTTAGAAGTTTAACTAGTATATTCGACTCTTACACACTCCTAATGAATGTTTAGAAGTTTAACTAGTAAATCTTACTTTTTCTTAATTATGAATTTTAATTCCAGGCGTGAAGCAAGGTTTATCAGGAAAGTTGTTGAGCAGATCGCTATAAAACTGCAGAATGGATGCTTAAATGTAGCCACAAATCCAGTTGGAATAGATTCTCGCCTGCAAAAATTCAGTAATTATTTAGATGTTGGAGGATCAAATGTTGTTCGCATAATTGGAATTTGGGGGATGGGCGGACTAGGTAAGTCAACAATTGCGAAAGCCATTTTCAACACATACCAGCACAGGTTTGATGGTGCATGTTTTCTTGAAAATGTGGGAAATGAGAAATTGGTTGATTTGCAAAACATGCTTCTGTCTAAAATCTTGAGATCGGCCAACATAAATGTGAGTACAGTCGATGAAGGGACGGAGAAGATAAAAACAAGACTTGGCAACGTAAGGGTTCTTGTCATAATTGATGATGTAGACAGTGTGGCACAGATAAATGCATTAGCTATAAAACGTGACTCATTTGGTCCAGGAAGTAGAATTGTTATAACAACAAGAGATCAAAATTTGCTAAAGACACCTGAAGTGGTGGATGAGGCATGTTCTCTACCAACAATGGATAACGAGGAGGCTCTTGAGCTCCTTAGTTGGCATGCGTTTGGAAAAAGTTCTCCTAATGAAGGATATCGCAAGGTCTCAAGAGAAGCTGTTGATTATTGTGGGGGTTTACCACTTGCACTTGAAGCTGTAGGTTCTTACCTATGCACAAAAACCACAAGTGAATGGACAGATGCATTGAAAAAATGGAAAAGAGTGCAGCCTAGCATAACTCACAAAATTTTTAAGGTAAGTTATGACGGGCTTACTGATGACAAGGTGAAGGATATATTCCTTGACATATCCTGTTTCTTTATTGGAATGAACAAGCACCATGTCCTGGCAATATTGGATGGGTGTGACAGTAATCCAGCAATAGGTATTAAGGAACTCGAGGAGCGATGCCTTGTAACTGTTGATCCAGAAGGCAATCTGATGATGCATTGTTTGATTCGAGACACGGGCAGAGAAATCGTACGTGCTAAATCCCCTAAGAAGCTTGAAAGTCGCTGTAGATTGTGGCATCATGAGGATGTAAAACACGTATTGGCGAAAAAATGTGTAAGTACATCCTTAATCAAATTGCATTTAATACATGTTTGTAATAAATGAGAAAAAAGATTCTGATTTTATTTACTGAATTATTTGAAAATTATCCCTGTAACACACATGACTAATTTAGATTGTTCAAACAAAACTGATGTCTAAGCAAACTCTTGTCACTGATCCAGTACTGGTGCTCTGCACTGGTTAAAGTCTAAGCAAATAACCCTTGTCTTACTTTAGTTTCTTTTGCTTTCTAACAGGAAAAGAAAAAAATTGAAGGAATCGCATTAGATTTTTTAGAACCTGACAAGCTTAGCGTCAGTACAGAAGCATTCAGAAAGATGCTGAACCTGAGATTACTCAAAATAAGAGGTGTAAAGTTCACTGGAGACTGCAAACATCTTCCTGAAGAGTTAAGATGGTTAAGTTTGTCTGACTTTCCTCTGCAGGCCATACCAGAAGATTTTAATCAACCAAACGTAGTTGACATCGACCTGAGTTATAGCAATATAAAAGTCTGGAATGACAACGTGGTACGATACAAACCCAACCAAACTATCAATTCTTTCCACTTGGTTTTTTTACATACCAACATCATGCTCTCTCTCTTCTATTTGAATTTTGATACTTGTTTTCCCTTTTTGTCTCACAGTCACTTGAAAAGTTGAAGTTTCTCAATCTTGGTTATTGTGATCACCTGAAACAATCACCAGACTTTTCAAGAATCCCAAATATTGAGATATTGATACTCAAAGCCTGTAAGCGTTTGTCCAAGATTCACCACTCTGTAGTAAAATTGAAGAACCTTAAGTATTTGTCTGTTGCAAAATGCAAAAATCTTCAGGAAATCCCAGATTTACCAACAAATTTGGAAATCCTGAAAGCGAATGAGTGCATTGCATTGAAAAAGATGCCAGATTTTTCAGAAATGTTGAGTATGGTAGAACTGCATCTGAATCACTCCCCCAAACTCACTAAGATTCTAGGCTTGCATAAGTCGTTAAACACCATGAGAAGGATTCATATGGAAGGGTGCACCAATCTCACTGCTGCTTTTAGAAAAGCAATCCTACAGGTCCTCTCTCTCTCTCTCTCTCTCTCTGCACCCATCCGTATACAGCTTATCCATACATGCATTTATTAACTTTTTGTACAAATCTTACTCCATGGCATAGGGATGGGGTGTGAGCAGAAATGGTGATCTTTTTTGTCCAGGAAATGATCTTCTATCAGGGTTTACATGCGTTGACCCTAAGGATGAAATAGTTTCTTCTCTTTTTATCCCCGGAAATGATCTTCCATCAGGGTTTACATACTTTGACCCTAAGGAAGAAATAGTTGTGCCGCAATGTTTTGGTGATGATGCAAAAGCGTTGACTCTGTGCATCGTTTATTCTTGCGACGACTCCCAATCTAGTGATTCACTTTGCATCCGTGTTGAAAATCGTACCAAAGAAACTGAGATTTCAAGCTGTCCAATGTATGCCACCGTACTAAATAGCCATGAAAGTTATATTTGGCTGGGACGTTTATCAAACAATACGCTCAATGTGAACGGTGGGGACAAGATAAATGTTGGTGCGCACTTTGTAGGACACGGGAGTACAGACGATATTCATATCAGGGTGCAGAAAATAGGGGTCTACCTGGAGCAGGAAAATGTAGTCGATGAATTTTCCAATCCTATGACACTTTCCAGTGAGTATGACAAGGAGGCCAATCTTATGCAAGACAAGGTGAGACTCTTATCTGAGGAGAATCTGTCTCGTAAAAGACAGAGGTATGACAAGGATGTCAATCTTATGCAAGACCAGGTGAGACTCTCATCTGAGGAGAATGGATCTCGTAAAAGGCGGGGCTATGACAAGGATGTCAATCTTACGCAAGACGAGGTGAGACTCTCATATGAGGAGAATCGATCTCGTAAAAGACTGAGGTCTAACGGTGTTGAAAGAAATGCACAAGAAATTGATGCCCCAATAAACAGCTGCATGGACTAGGAGAAAAAAAAGGTGCGTAAAACAGAACTGGAGCCATTAGAAGATTTTTTTTACTGAAAATATGACTTTAGTATCTGAGACTTAATTTTGTTGACATAAAACTCAATATAAGTTTTTTACTCGAATAAAACTCATTAACTAGAATACACATCAGCAAATTCATTAGTTATGTTTGACTTTACCCATTTAAAAAATTTTCGATGCCAAAAGTGTTACGAACTTTTTTTTTGAAATATTGTATTTTATTCTCAAGACATGTGAAATGATTAATTTACCTGAGTGAGTGTCTTAATTAATTTTCGAGCCTCAACTCGAAACTTATATTCTTATACTTTCTTAAATTTCATTACAATTTTCTCGAACGGTAGTTCAACATCGAAAACAGACCAGGAGGGCATAATTGTTATTTTTGCAACTATGGAGGGTAATTGGGTGATTTTATTTAAATTATTTTAAGCGGGATTAAACCCACCACATCCGTTCCTCTCTCTTCCCTCATTTTCAGAACACTCTTTCTAAACTCTTTCTCTCGAACTCACTTTCTCTCTCTAGCAATGTATTAAAAGCGTGAGGCGTGGGCGAGGCGTTCGAGGAATAGCCCAGCCTAGGCATGAGATCTAAATTTTTTAATATATACACTGAGCGTACACATGTTACATTAAAAAAAAAGAAGATTATTAATCAATAATCATTCTGAGCACATACATATTATAAATACATACACATACATACACATATATTATATATATAAAATAGAGGATGAAAAGTACAATAAGCACATATATAACAATGCACATAGAAAACACACACATCCATTATATAAAAAAATAAAAATCAGAAAAAAAAGGCAAAGAGATGATAGTGCAAGGAAGATCTATGAGACAATTAAAACCCTACCCAAAATTTGGGTTTGGGAGTAAAAAAATAAAAAATAAAAATCCCCTGAGGCACGCCTAGGCAGCTCTGGCAACGCCTTCCGCCCACTCCCTCAAAACAGAGGCGGCAACCCTCAAGTCCAGTCTCACAGGGCGCCCAGGCGCACCCTAAGGCGAGCTTTTTAAAACATTGCTCTCTAGCACCAAGAGAAGAAAGCTCTCACTCTCTCACTTACCTTCACAAATCAAACCTAAATTTTACATATTCGAAGACTGTGGGATGCAAGGATCACAATGGTAGTCTTGCATGTGAGATCGGTGCAGTGTGGAACTCGACACCATTGAACCCGAGAGCTTGAAGCTCTCAAACTTAACAAGGTGAGGCCGCTGTCTATCCTTTGAATTTCCGGGTTTAATCATGTTGTTTTTCACCCCGTTGTGTTAGTTTTATGTTGAAACTCGAGGGAACCTCTGCAATTTTCTGTACCTTCGAACCTAGCCCCATCGACGAATTCCGGTGAAATGCTGTTGAGTTTGAAGTCGGTGGGTGTCCTAGTACGTCTATTCTCTCCCAGTTGTTTTTGTGATAATTGGGATGAGGTTTTGAACTCCATAATCAAGTCCTAACCCCTGCATGCACCATATATCTTTTTCTAGTTCCCGGCGAGTGTGAACGGACGAACTTCGGCGAGTTCATGACTAGTGGTGCACGGACCCCGTTGGAATCGAACCCAGGTAATTCACCTAGTTGCATGTGAGTTTTTATCTTCACTCGTTGAAATCGAGGTGGATTTAACCTCTCATCGTCCTAAAAAGGGTCTAGGTAAGTTCCTGATCATATTTAGGACTAAATTACAAAAATTTTGGCATTCAAATCTTTCTAGTCGAGCTCGGATTGGTCCTAATTGAAATCTGGAATTTTCTTCTGTTTTCGGCGAGAATCCGGCAACCAGCGATGGTGACGAGTGATGATCATCTGTTAACCTTAATAGCAGGAACTGAGATTCCGTTATCTACTATCAGAGCAGGTATATTCCGTTAACTCACTTAAAACCTCATCATACCGACAATGGCAAGTGTGAAGTCTACTCGTCGAACTACGGCAGCGAGTACGACGTTGATGGCCCACGGCGGCGTGTGACGGTGCATGACACAATCGCTGCGGCACGTGCAGGACCCGTGACCTAGCCATGGGTTTTCGGTGTTCTGAATCACATGACACGATCCATTTGTGCAAATTCATTGTAGTTTTTGGCAATTTTCCATAAAATGTTGATTAAAGATTAACTTAGCTTTATATGATTATTATAAGCTTATTAGAGGATCGAAAGAGTTTAGGCAAAGAGCCTATTGAGGAGGGACGCTTTACTTCTGAGTGGATTCCTTTGAAAACCTAAATGTTTTTACGATTATATATAAATATATATATATATATATATTTATATGCCTTTATATGCGGATGCATATTACTTATGTTAGTCTTTGATAAGACTTGTTGGAGCCGATTTTCCAGCACCGTGGAATGAAACTTGTAGATGAAGAACAGGCCAATACCGTGAGTCTGAGTGCCGTTCTCGGCATGGAGGCTCCCGATGCTTAAGTCAATGATTGTAGAGTGGTGTAAAGTGTATTTCTGGGGTGTGATGGGCTCACATGTGGTAAGGGGTCAACATGCATATTTATAGGCCTCCTGCGAAGTTGGTCCACGTCACTCAACATTCTCCTGCATGTTTGGGAATAAAGGGTCTGACGAGGTGACTGATCTGACATACGAACGCCACATCGGAGAAGGACACTTTGACTGTTCTCCGTCGTGGGTGAGAGGAGTGGCTGCGCCAGACTGTGTCACCTGGCACATCACGTGGCCCAGAAGGTACTGTGGAGGCTAGCATGCGCAACCTAGTACCTGAAGGGTTGGTGGAGTCTGTACTCTAGATTAACCTGGTTCACTCCGGAGTTGAGTATTTTGTATTTGATAATATCGGGGAATCACGTGATTAGATTGGTCCTCTGAGGTTAGGCTTAGCTTTCAATTCACTCTAAGTCTTGCCATAGGGTGCGGGCTTCTGTTATGTCCACTTCAAAGAGGTGATATTTCGGGGTCTTATAAGACTTATGCTTGAATTGTATTTAGATGGTATCTTGAGATCATTGGTGATTTATTTTCACTGCATGGTTATCATATATATAGCAAGTTATGACCGTATGACTTATTGCAGGTACCTTCTTTCTAGTAGAGGCTAGAATGTGCTACTAGACGCTAGATATCGATTAGGTAGATGTCACTTCACCTGCTTGCTATACATTACGTTATTTGTGATTGATTTACTTTCTTTGATATGATGAGCAAGATTGAGTTGATCTTGACTACTATTATTTTAGTATTACTATGTATGTAGTTTTCACTTTATATGTTTTCAAAATAGGGGCTATCATGTTGAATGATTTTAAATGTGATAAAACTGGTCCACTCACATTTTGTTTTGTCGACCCCTTCAGGACGTAAAGAGAATAAAGAGAACACCGGTGGTGACGAGTGGGCTTGGCAATGAGGCGTTCATCATTTGGATTTAGGGTGATGGTTCATTTACTGAGTTTTATCTTTATTTGTAATAGTTGTATGATCACACTTTTGATTATGCGTAACACTGCACTTTTATGTGTTTATAGTTGTGTGAAACTTCTAGCTGCTCTAATGTGATGTGATAATAACGAGAGTTAATCCCGAGATAATTTGTGTCCCCAAGTGGGGAGGTTGATAAGTGAACTTGTAGAAGCTTTGGATTTCTTAGTGATAAATGTTTTTGTTCAAATTCTTGCACATCATAAATATCTTACTATGGCTTTGTCATTAAGTTGGTCTATGATGTCATCTCTCAATGGGGTCATATGGTTAATTTAGTGTCGGCCAACACATTATGGGCCTATAACTTGTGTTATTGGGGTCGGGGTGTGTCAGTTTGGTATCAAAGCATGGTTAGGGAAAACATACATTTGCATTGTATGATGCAAGTAATTGTGCTAATTATTTAATGTCTACTTGGCAAATTATGCCGCCTAGGTGTGAATGTATTCCTATTCCGGGATTACAACAATTAACTAAGGCATCAGCCCAACTGATTCCAAATGTGAATCGTGGTCGCACTTAGGCGAAAATTGCCGTGAGCCATTGTAGCCAAAATTAGATTAACTGAAATCAACCCAATTAAGTCCAAATTTTAATGCTCACAAGTGTACGAATCGTAAAGTAGTATAGTAGGTAAGCATAAGATCATTCCAACTAAGATTGAAATAATTCTAATTATCTAACTTAATTTGTATTGCACTTGAATTGAAATGGAAAAATTGATGATTTGAGAAAGAACTTTGAAATTGTAAACGTAAATAATAATCAAATGAGCTTAAATAAATGACAAGAACAACAAAGAAATCAAATTATAAATCAATTACAATAGACACTAGAGCATCCGATTCACCATAACCAATCCAACTCAATTCCTACAGTTAATTATTAATGAGTAATCATCCAAATTGACGGTCTAGTTTCTTTAATTCATATAGTATCCATGGCATCTAGATTACTATGTATACTCATATGTGCTAACAATCTGTGTCATCTAGATTACTAAACACACACAAGTTCATTAACGATTTGTGAACTACTTAAGAGACCGCATGAAACCTAATGTATGGCATCCACATTAAGGAATTCATGGTACCCTATGCAAGACACTAAAACCGAATTAACAACATGATATCTGCGTTAACTTGCATCACATACACTCAACTCAAACCAAAGTGGTGGCCAATCACCAAGATTAAAACTAAGCTCATAAGCACAGCAAAATGATACTCAAAGTGAATGAAAAATTCATAAATAATTAAATTGAGAAATTAAGAATTCATAGTTAGGCTACATTGTAGCCCTAGTGAAAATAAATTAGTTCTGGAACATAATTGGAAATATTATTGAATTCATAAAATTGAAAGAAAAATAAGTTTAGAAAAGCCTGAAAATCTCTTGCTTTACTGCTGCCTTCTTCCCCTTGATCTCTACCTGTCGCAACCTTTTTCTCCTTTTCTTTCCTTGTTGAATGATGAGCAGTTTGCCTCACTTTAATTCCTCTTCTTTTTTCTATTTCTTTAATGAATAATGACCAGCCAATTAACTATATTAATCAGCCATTTGTTCCTTCTTTGTCTTGCCCGCTTTTGCTTTCTTCTTCTACTTGTCTTATTCTTCCTTTTCTTCTTCCCTCATTTCTTCTGTTTTTTCATTCTATCTTGCCCATTTTTGCTTCCTTCTTCTGCTTGTCTTATTCTTCCTTTTCTTCTTCCCTCTTTCATTCATTTCTTCCATAATGAGCAGCCCCAATTATCTCCAAATTAATGCCAATTGAACTCCAGCTGTTCTTTTTGGTTTCTTTTGTCTTTCCCCTTAACTTCCTTCTTTCATTCTCTGTAACTGACGAAGGTTAAAACCACAACCATAACCTTCATATTGCCCTCTTCAATTCTCTACTTGATTCGAAACGGTAATTGTATTTTCCAAATGGACATCCTCCAATTTTATTCCAATAAGTAACTTGCAAGGAGATTGAAGTAAAACAAATTTAAGCCACATGTATTTTCTAAATCTTAAATCCATAATCCACACTTCAATCATGGTCATAGGCATTTAACATACCACATGATTATATTAAAACTAAGAAATTAATATGATTTTGATCCTATTCATAAGTATGACTATAAAAACTCAAAGTCATATAATTCCTCTTGTTTAAATCCAACATATCATCATAAAATGTAACTTTTAGGGTAAAATAAGTAATAAAATATGTGCTTATCAGTCATGGTGCCTACTTTCTTGATGGTCGTGAAGCCGGGGAAGAAGTTGAATCTTGGTTGGAGCACATGGATGATGTCCTTGAGGTTATTGATAGGAACATATTTAGGCGACTTACTTAGCTTGTTTTCGTGCATCTATGTTGTTAATTCATAGTTGTTTTAGTAGTTTAAGCAATTTTCGTGTGTTTTTAGGTTCATATGGCTAAGGAAGCAAAAAGATGCATTTTGGAGCATTTTGGAGCAAAATTGGGCTTGGAATGGATAGCATATGATTGGAGCCAAAGTGTTGGATGAATTTGAAGGCCTTGTATTCATTTTGGACATAAAACAAAGGGCCTAGCCCATTCTCTCTTAAACCAACCCCAAGGCCATGCATTTCCTTCCAATACCAAAGCCCACAATCACTTCAAAAGCCATGCAAAGAACCATCCATTCCATCAAAAACAATCCATCAATTCACATGCAAAACCACCATTAACACACATGCACCCAAACAAAGCCAACCTAGCTAACCCTACATGCATTCTTTATGCAACTCTTCATCATTCCACCATTCATTCTTTATTCCACAAACAAGTCACATGCATTTCCACCTTCCTACTTCATCATTTCACCACATTCTCCCTCTTTAACTCATTTCATTATTCATTCACTTTGCATTCATTCAATTCCACCCCACATGCACCCTTTATTCTTCATCATTGCAACCATGACACATTTACACCAACAAAACAACTCCCATGCCATGGCCTACTCATATTCCCATTTCCTTTCCAACATCTCACATGCATTTCCACCTTCCTACTTCATCATTTCACCACATTTTCCCTTTTATTTCCACATGCAATTCTTCATCATTGCAACCACAAACACCTTAAACAAATAGCCATATACATCTCCACTCCTCCTATAAATACCCTTGCATTCATTCATTCAAAAAATCATCTCATTCACAACACAACACAACACCACAAACACATCCACCTTCCTTAGCCGTGAGTCTCCCTTAGAATCCAAAAACCATCTTCCATTTCCACCACTCCTCATCCATTTCCATAATTTCCCAACACTTCCATCCCCCCAACCAACTATCCCTAGACCTTATGCTACAATAAAGAGGAAGATAAGAGGGCCTAAACGTTCATACAATTCAAGATTGAGTTGTTGGAATGTTTAGGCGTTTCTTTGATTTCAATGTTTAATTTCAATTCTCTTTGTTTTGTACGTATGAGGAAATAAACCCCCTTTAGCTAGGGGGTGATTCGAAACTATGTTTATGTTTGTAATATGATTTGATTACTTTTAATTACGTTTCATAAGTTGTGAATTCAATTTGTTTAACTGTTTAATTGATAACCTATTTATGTATGTTTATTAAGAATGAACGCTTAATTTTCATGCATGAATTTGACGCTAGAATATAAGTGAGTTTCACGTAATAGTTATGAACTTATATTCACAAGTAGTGGAGGTTGCTTATAAACAATCGTGTTAAACATATTCTTGGCATAAGTTTCATGCAATCATAGTAACGAATGCCTCGTCAACACTTATAGTTTTCATGATGCTTAATGATTCTTGCTTGTATCTCTATTATGCAATTCATGTAGGGAACTTGTGAGGAATGCTTTGGATTGTCGTATGCAATCATCCAATTCATTAACTTAAGGAAAACTTGACGGTTAATTTAAGCGGACCTAATTAACCCGGGGCGTTGAGAATTCATGGTTTATTGAAAAGCAATTAGACATCGTTTTGTATGCAAGTATAACATATGTGGAGATAAACCCCTTAGCTAGCTTCCCATCCATTCATTTCCGTCAAATCCATATTTACAATTTGTTTTATTTCCAAGTTTCCATTTTTAGTTTAAAGTCGTCCAAATCCAATCCCCCTTTACTTTATTGTTCAATTTAGTTAGAAATCAATTTAGTTTGTGTTTTTAAAGCATTTTGAGTCTTTTGGTTTGTCTTAGTGTTTTAACGTTTAGTTTCACATTCTTTGAGTCTAGTTTAGTGTTTTATCTTGTTTTTACGTTTTTGAGTCAGTTTCCAAGGTTTTAGCAATCCCTCCTAATCCCCGGTCCAGAACGATCCCTCACTTATCCATTCTACTACAATTGTCAAACGAGGGTTTAATTTGTGTGCGTATAATTCTCGCATCAGTTATGAGATGTCCGATGGACTAGAGAGTAAGCACAACTACTTTCTTCATGGTTGACAGCGCTAATAATTGGTGGAAGACGAAGCGTTGCAACATTATGGCCGATGAGGTTTGGACTTGGGATCTCTTCAAATAGCAGTTCAAGAGTAATTTTTTTTAGTCCTGAGGTTCAAGCTATTAGGAGATGAGAGTTCTTGGCTCTTAAGCAAGAGCATATGTCTGTTGTTGACTATAAGCGAGAATTTCGGCAATTGGTAGAGTATTGCCCAGGTATTCGAGATAGTGCTGATGAGAAGAGAAAGCAGTTTATTTCTCGCCTTAATCCAGAGTTGTGCACTTATGCCATTGTTAGTGACGGTGTCACTTATGAGACAGCTTTCCACACAGCTCAGCAGGTTGAACAAGTGATTAATTGGAAGAAGGAAAAGCAGACAGCGAAGGGTAAGCAAGCGAGCACTAGTCGTGGTGGATGATAGTTTAGTGGATTTAAGAGTAATTTCAAGGCCAAAAATATCAAAGAAGCATTTTCCATCGGCGAAATGAAGAGTAAGGCAAAGTTTAAGAAGAAAGGTCAGCTTTATGGGTCTACTAGCGGTGGATCTAACAATACTACACCTCGTGCCAACATGGGTTCTACCAGCAGTGGCTAATTCTCTGGCAACGGATCTTGGGGTGGCTTTTTTTTTAAGGACCACATACCTTTCTGCACTACTTGCCTCACATACCATCATGGTGAGTGTAGATCAGGTACGAGACTTTGCTTCAATTGTTGTTAGCCAGGACATTTTCAGAGGAATTGCCT